AATCTATTTGTTTTTATATATATTAAAAAATCTATTTTTTTTATATAAAAATATATTTAATGCCTTAAAAATACGAAACGCATTATGACGCTTATTCTTCGCATTGACAAGCCTAAACTTGTGATTCTTGATTCTCGGTCTCGACGCTTCGCAACGCATTACGCATTTTAGAACACTGGTATTTATAGGAGCAAAACAGTCAAAAATTCTATCAAATCGGACGCACCGTATTGGAAGTCCGCTACTGTATCGGACGATCAACTAGCAGTTGTGTTAGAAAATCAGAACGGTTGAATTTTTTTATTGTTGGTGCTAAAACTATCATACCGGATGTCCGGCACTACAGTTTTACGCCGAAACATTTTCGTTTTAATTTTTAATAAATTTAAGTACTTGAGGAACGTTTTGAAAATATTTTTCAAGGTAAGCGACATTTTTCAAATATATGTTTGAGATTTTTACCTTTTGAAAAATAATCTTTATACAAACATTTTTGTATCGTGATTTTTCGTGCGTAAATCAATTTTGAGCTTGTCACAGTTTATTGCTAAGTACCAAAATGTTTTACCTTTACATATGAGTATAAATAGTCTAAGCGCTTCGTTTTGAACGTCTTGACATGCATGCTTGACTATACTTCGATTTTTATCTCAATTCTTGTTGAAGTATTTTTTTTTTTTTTCGAGTTTTTCAATATCAATCTTCATAGCCTCATTTGATCAATTTTGTTTCCATATCGATCGTTGCATGCAAATCACTTGACCTCAAATTTCGTGTCTTCAATTTTATTGATTTGCAATAATCATTATAGACACTCAAAATCAATTTATTAGAAATAAACTCAATTTATTTGTAATAATCAAAACGAGACGTCAACCATAGGTCAACAAAAGAATAGTTTGAAAGAGAAAGAAAGAGAATAAAAAAAAAGGAGAGACGAAAATTATTTAAATTTTAGAATAATGCTATTTGTATATCATTTTGACAAAATCATGCACAGATAGATAATATGAAAGTGAAAGAAAGATTATAATAACTGAATATCTTTTCTTTCAGTCTATTTTTTTCTTTTTTCTTTCATATTATTTATGTGTACACAGTGATGTACAAAAAACATTATTTTAAGATCCTGTTTGGGCTCTTTTTTTTTTTAGAAAATAGATTTTTATTTTCTTATTTTCAACAATATATTCTCCAATCAAATAATATTATGCATAAATTTAAAAAATTCTTACTTTTTAATTATTTATTATTCAAAAAATTATTATTTCAAAATATATTTTTTTTTCCAAAATTCATTTTTAATGGAATCCAGATGGGAGCTAAATTTTAATAAAACGTCGTATCATCAATATTTAGACTAGCATTACTCTTTCTATTACACACTTTTTTGTTAGTTCCCGGGCTAGAGGCATCAACTTGGACCCAATTCTTGATTCGGGTGGATTAACTGCCATCATCAACCCGACCCGTATTCACCGCAACTGATGTAATTATTATTTAATTTAATCAGTCTTTTTCCCCACAAATACAACCACACTTGAGTTCTTGAATCTCATTTTGCTAAGGTATGTAATACGTATATTTATTTGCTTGGTTGTATGTATTTTTGTGCTGTTGTTTTTCTGATATTAGATCTTGAAGTTTCATGATGTATTATAGGTGTGAACAGATTGTATTTGTGTAATTGGATATAGAAATGTCTTCAGCTAAAGACCCTTTTTACATTGTCAAAGAGGAAATTCAAGATTCTGTAAGTATTTTCCATTTGAATCCTGGATCTATTCATTCTGTTAATCTATTTTTTTCACTACCTCGATGAGTTTGAAATCCGGTTTTGATGTATTTATCACTGGAATATTTTATTTTGTTCTGATATTTTAATAGAGTTTGGTTTTAAATTTACGATCTCATGTTCCCGAGTTGCCAAAGAATTTGAATTCAACCGTGAACACCTGTGAATTTTGATGCTTTTAATAGTTCTATGTTTTGTGGGGATTGGATTGGAGGTGATAAAAAATAAAAGACTCTTTTAGGTATCAGGAATAATATTGGAGCTTATTGGTTTTGTATTTACGTTATTGGTGTAGTTACTAGTTATAGTGCATCTGGAGGTTAATACTATATCAAGAATGAAGGAATGAAAGGAATAAAATGACAACATTATCTGAAAACCAAAATGACAGTATTTTAAGTTTATATGAATTATGGATAAAGTAAGACTTTTTACAGTGCACTAAATGGAAGAAAATATTTGGGTGAGTTTTGAATCTGAAGAGTATATATTACATTCCTTGATTTCCAGAATATTTGAAGCTTTTTAACTATAGAGTTAAAGATAAATTCTCTCTAAAAGCAATGCCAGTTGTGCTTAATAAACTCCAAAGGACAAAAGTTTACCTCTTGTATTGGTCCTTGCGCTAGACAATTTGAGAAATATGCACAATAACTATGAGTTTTTTGTTTCTTTCCCTGTGGGTTGCTGCTTGGTTTAGTTTAATGTTATATTTTTCATCATGCTGCATTGAGTTTTCCAACTTGAGCTTTATCTAGCTCAAATTTTGTATAATACAACCAAAAAGAGAAAGCAGAAAGAAATTAACTGAGCTCTTAGGCTTTAATATAGTGTATTCATCTGCCAATTCTTATTGTCTTGCTATCAAACATATCCTAAGGAAATTCTTGGATATTTCTCTGCCAGCTTGGTACCCTGGAACTGTTTTTCTAGCTGCTAAAATTTGCTTCTCGTTGCTACGTCATTTGAATTTGTTGAAAAATATATCTAAGCATCCATTACCAACTTGATTAGATTGACAAGTTGCTCTCAACATTTCACCAATGGGAACAAATGCCTTCTGACAGTGGGAATCAACTACAAATCACTAAGGAGCTTCTTGCTAGTTGTGAGAGCATAGAGTGGCAGGTATGAGTTTGCATATGAACCTGTAAGATGCACCTAATTTTTCTTCTGGTCACTTTCAGATCATATACCTTGAAAATGGTTGACACGCTGTATGCTGATAAGTTCAGTTTCCATGTTAGTTGATACATTTATGCATGTGACGTGACTTCTGCACTCCCTTTGCAACTTCAACCAATTGTTCATGAATCCTAAATGTTATTATTTTGATCAGTATCCTTATTGGGGTAATCTCCCTTACATCTGCTTCATGTCAACAACAAGAACTGCCAGAATGCCAACCCTTTCAACAATAATAGTAGCCAGTATTTTCTATCGTCTTTATATGCATTACATGTTGGAGAAGAATAAACTTGATGTTCATAAATGTGCTTACATCTTTCCAAGTTCCTGATAAACAATAGAACAACATATTGTATCAATACTGAAGTAATTTTCCTGATAGGAAGGTGGATGAATTGGACAAGACAATTGCTGTTGCAGCAAGAGATCCTTCTTTTTATGGTATTACCCAGGTGGAGCTTGATAAACGAAGAAGATGGACCGGAAATGCTCGTACTCAGGTATATGTACTATAACTGCTTGTTGAGTTTGCTCGATTCCTTCTATTGATGTTGCCTATGAATTTATATGTTGCTTGAGTCTCATAATTTTAACTTTCAAAAGTAACCAGAGTGTGGATAGCAGCTTTTGTTCCTTGGTTCCCCAAGTTTCAGATCACCTAAAGGATTATTTTTTTGTATAGGTGGGAAATGTGAAGAAGTCAGTAATAACTGGGAAGGAGTCGAACGGCACAAGCACTTCTGGTATTAATGGAATGCGGCGTGAGCTGATGAGACTTCCAAATTCTCATCAATCTGACATATCCAACCAGTATAATGCACAAGATAATGATGATTTTATATCGTCAGAATCAGATCGACAACTACTACTCATCAGGTATAGTTTGAACACCTATTCTGCCTTATTTTTGTTCTGTCCCTTTGTTTTATTTAATTTTTGTGCACTTATTAGCAAGCCCGGAAACTGTTGTTAGGCTATCTTAATTCTGTTATTGTACTCAATCAGACAATGCAAAGGTCTACCTTGCATTTTATGTAATTCATTGTTATGGATCTTAGTGTTGGTGATTTATCATTGCTTACCTCTATATCATGAACTTGTCTAGAACCTTTAAGACCCAGACGTATTCTGGTTGTTGGGACTCTAAACATCGTCGGAGGAAAACTAATATTTCAAAGGGTTTATGCTTGACATGTGAGTGATGCAATCACAGTAGAACAAGTTAGAAGAGAAATGGGTAGACCAAAACTAACACGGCGTGATGTGGCTGTTAAGAATCTAGTTGCATTCAGTCTTGCAGTAAATGTTGTCATGAAGCAAATGGAGTGCCAAAAAAAATTATTTATGTAGCCAACTCCAAATATATTGGGAATAAGGCTTAGTTGTTACCCTTTTGGTTCATATTGAAGTATTCTACTGACACCAGCTGGTTGAAACAATTTGCCCTATCATCTTGCTTCTATCTCATGATGAGTACTGAGTAGCACTCTAACTTGTAATGAACACTGTTTTTAATATTCTTTCTACCTTTTGAAGTTATCACTTTTTATATCCCAATCATATATTTGTACGAGCTGTTTTAGTTTGAGAGAGACTTTCTAATGATAAAGAGAAATATTTTGAGAAATAGACGGTGCAATATGGGTTATTCAAACTTTCAGATGTACTTAATCCACTGGATCTTATTCAGATCAGTGCTGTTCGCGTTGCTTTTATCTATTTCATTAAGTAGATATCTGCAATCTTCAAGTGTTTCATTTTTCTCATTCTGACAAGAATTATTTCTTGTAGACAACAGGATGACGAGTTGGATGAGCTCAGTGCCAGCGTAGAAAGAATTGGAGGTGTTGGCCTTACAATACATGAAGAACTTCTTGCACAGGTAATTGTTGTCTAAATTTAATTGATCAATATAGAATTGCACTCACTTCTGTTTGTTATATATCTGGTAAAATTTAACCAAGACTTCTAATTGCAGTACTCGTGAACCTTATGAACTTTCTTTAAGATTTTTTTTTGCTAAATCTGAATTTGATGATATATTAGGAGAAAATTATAGATGAACTGGGTACAGAGATGGACAGTACATCAAATCGTCTCGAATTTGTTCAGGTGATTATCTTCCTTTATTTGCGATCCATTTGTTAAAACTCTGAGTTTAAGTTGCTTTTAAGGTAATGGTGTAGAATTCTTGGTTTTCCTTGCTCCCAAGCACTCTCATTGTTCTGTAAATTGCATGTTTCTGCAGAAAAAGGTTGCCATGGTAATGAAGAAGGCTGGAGCAAAGGGTCAAATTATGATGATTTTGTTCTTATTAGTTTTGTTTATTGTTCTTTTCGTGCTTGTCTTCTTCACATAGATTCAGAGGGCAGGAACCAAGGAATTGCCATGGTAATGAAGAAGGCTGGAGCAAAGGGTCAAATTATGATGATTTTGTTCTTATTAGTTTTGTTTATTGTGCGTTTCGTGCTTGTCTTCTTCACATAGAGTCAGAGGGCAGGAACCAAGGAATTGAGCAATGCTCGAGGGACACTTTTGATTCATGGGAAATGAATAAAGCGAACATTTTAGCAGTGTAAAAGCATTGTTTATGCACTTTCTCTGGTAAGATTGTTTATACTGGGAACAAACTATTGACTTCATTATCTTCAAGGGTCCATGATACCAATTAGATATGCCATAAATCTGCAATATGATTTATATTTCATTTATAGTTCTTGATTAGTGATGCAACGAAAATGGCATAGACGATGGAAAATCAAGAATTTGTTGATTCACAATCGAAACCCGAATAACTGAATTTGGTAGGCAAATTATTGATTACACTGAATACCGACTTGGATCGAGGAATTTTATTACAACCCAATAGTAACCAAAATTTCAAAAATCGAATAGTCTGAACCCTTAAGAGCATCTTCAATGTATCATATGGATTGCTGATTGCACTAAATACCGATTTGGATCAAGAAATTGGATAAAATTCCTAATTTTATTATAACTCGATAGCGACTAAAATCTCAAAAATCGAATAATATGAGCCCTTAAGAGGATTTTCAATGCACTATATGGATTGCAATTCATGTGAGCAAGTTGAAAGATTAGTTATTTATGTGGTATAAATGTTTAATGAATGAATATCTGAGTTTAAATTTCTTTTCTTTTTACATTTCAAAATTTAATCTTTTATCATTTAATTGGGGAGAAAAAAAAATAATAAATAGGAAAATATGTAACAAATAGGAGAGAGAACAAGAGTTGTGCACGCGGAAGAGTGTCAACCAAAATGTAAAGGAGAGTGTACATATAGCATGATTGAAATTTAGCCTCTGTCTAGTCGTGCTTCTTTGTGAATTTTTAGCTTATTTTTTACCGTTATACATTGTAACAAAGAAGCAGCCGCAATTGTTGAAAAAATGCAACTTTCATAACTTTTTATAGAACGAGTTACCGAAAATGCCCCCATAAAAAAATTGAAGAATAGCTGAAGAAGGCATTTTTTTCCTTGATTTAACAATTGTGACTGCTTCCTTTGACACTGTATAACAGTAGAAAAAAATGTTAAAAAATCACAGAGAAGAGGAGCTTAAAGTGTTGCTCTGTTGCTGACCGGAGAGAGACACATAAATAGAGATTTTGCTAACCCGCTTTATTTGAAAGAGCATCTAATAATAGTTTTTTTTTTTTAACCATCAAAGTCTGTTTGGTGCACATTAAAATGAGATCATGCATTTTTTTAATTAATTGCATTTCTAGTCCCTCCACTTCTAGCAAATAATTAATAGGGCAACGTATACATACAATATTATATTTTAATTAAAAAGTGATGTATGCTACTCTTTTAAGTGAAAAGTGATGTACAACGTCACTTTCTCTATCATGAGAATTTAATACACATTAATAAAATATAAAATAAATTAACATCTAAAAAAATTTTAATAAATAAATTTAAAGTAGCCAAAATGTATTGTTCTATTAGAATTTCAAAAAAAGTGACGAACACTTAAAAAAGTAAGAAACAACAATCAAAGCCTTAAATACATGGATGGTTGATTTTCTTCAACATGTAAAGGAGGAGTTGACACGTGTCCAATATGAATAGTTGCGTATGTTAGCCTCTTTTAGATGAATTATGCTACTTGTACATCACCCCTTACACAAGGGGTGACATAATGCACAAGTGGCACCTCCTCATTGGAGGGGTGCCGAGGCCCCACATGTGGGCCGAGGCTCCCCTCCAATGAAGATGCGCTACTTGTGTATTATGTCACCCCTTGTGTAAGGGGTGATGTACCGGTAGCAAAACCGATTTTTGACCGTTATACATTGTAACAAAGAAGCAACCGCAATTGTTGAAAAAATGCAACTTTCATAACTTTTTATAGAATGAGTTACCGAAAATGCCCCCATAAAAAAAAATTGAAGAATAGCTAAAGACGGCATTTTTTTTCCTTGATTTAACAATTGTGACTGCTTCCTTTGACACTGTATAACAGTAGAAAAAAATGTTAAAAAATCACAGAGAAGAGGAGCTTAAAGTGTTGCTCTGTTGCTAACAGGAGAGAGACATAAATAGAGATTTTGCTAACCCACTTTGTTTGAAAGAGCATCTAATATATTTTATTTTTTTAAACAATCAATGTTAGCATGGGAGACACATGAAATTGAAGTTTTAATTAATTGCATCTCTAGTCCCTCCACTTCTAGCAAATAATTAATAGGGCAACGTATACATACAATATTATATTTTAAGTGAAAAGTGATGTACGCTACTCTTTTTAAGCGAAAAGTGATGTACAACGCCACTTTCTCTATCATGAGAATTTAATTCACAATTAATAAAATATAAAATAAATTAACATCTAAAAAAATTTTAATAAACAAATTTAAAGTAGCCAAAATGTATTGTTCTATTAGAATTTCAAAAAAAGTGACGAACACTTAAAAAAGTAAGAAACAACAATCAAAGCCTTAAATACGTGGATGGTTGATTTTCTTCAACATGTTTCACTTTTATTAACTGAACATATAATATAACTTCATTTTAGGAATACAATACTTTATAAGTTGGAAGTGACAGAAATTCAAATAAATGACTGAAATTAAAAACGTGGCTCACACTTTAAAAAAAAAAAAGTAAGAAATATCAATCAAAATCTTAGAATAGATCCAGTGATGACTTATTTTCTTCTACATGTTGTCACTATCACTACTTTTTTTTTTAAGTTACTATTTCATTTGCAGATATGGATAAAATCAATGTATTTGTCTATTAGAGTCACACGTTAGATTTTTTAAAGTAGCTAAGGAACAACACACTAAGTATCATGTCACTTTCGAGTACGTCTACTACTATATAAAATCTTAGAAGTGTTGATTTAAATTTTTGCAAGAAACATTGTATTGTTATCATTGATATGCAATCCTATCAATAAAATAATTGATGTATCCTTATCTTTTCACATAAGTTAAATTAGAAAATAAATTTTTGAAGTTGTTTGTGTATGTGTGTGTTTGTGTATGCCACCCTTTTTTTTTTTTCAATTCCCTTTGAATTCCTGTTTTGGCGTTATCTCTTTAGGCTTATTTACAGGCTATATTTTTCCACTTGTCGGGTGAAGTTTTTGTTATCATATCGAAGCATTCAAAACAAACTTTGAAATACATCTTTCGAATTTGAAAATCGATAAACGACGAATTTATAATGAGTCAAAAATGACATCAAGAAATTGACTTAATAAACATGATTTATTTTGTGTTCAATAATTGATGAAAGGTAATTTTTGATATTTATACTTCGTCCATAACATATTTATCATGACCGCGTTGTAAGCTTTCAAACAGATTTTGATTCCCTCAAAATGGATAACATTAGCGTAAAATACTGTATCAAACGAAAATTTTTAATAACAAAAAATTTAAAAATCGAAAAAAAAAAAATCAGATTAGGAAGTGTCAACCCCATGTATTTGGAAATGAATTTGCTAACTTTCAAATGTCTTCATATTTTGAGTGAACGTAATTAAAACGGTTATTAAAAATTTAATTTACTTTAAAAGAGTATTAAATTATTAATCATTCTAATAATTTCTTCCATTTATCCCTCCAGGACTCCGATTTTTATACTCTCATCCGGAACATTCAGATCAAATTACTTCTTTTCCATCTTATTAAACCTGCAAATTTTGGAGGGGAGAAATTAACATCATGAATGATGATATGGGATGATATTCTCAAAACCCAAACACCCTTCGAAAAGACTAGATTGAACTGTTCACCTTTGCTGCTCGATTTGGAATACTCTCTAAGGGAGTTTGGGTTAAACGAGCATCCTTGACCTTCAAGTAGTTGTACATAATAACACCACATAAAGCTGTAGAAAAGTTGACAACGTTAATATGCCTTCAAGCTACTCAAAAAATTCCAAATTTAACATTGAAGAAGGGTACCAATAGCGTATCCAATGATATTTAGCTGGGTGATTGTCGACTCTGGAAAAATAATGGTCGAGAGGGTAATGAGTATCCAGTCTTTGAGGACACCAGCAACTCGAATAGTCACTGCACCAGTCCTACCAAGTACTAAAAAAATTGAGAAATTTAAAGCCAAGGCGCAAAGAGCATTCGAGAAAAATATCCAGAAATTAAATTGGATCTGTGAGACTTCCATTCCAGGCTTCTCCAAAAGATACCATGGAACAAAGAGAAACACAAAGCTGTACATAAAAAGCAACAGGGTAAGAATTAGCATCATGAATAAATATAGCTGCAAGATAAAGCTATAAATACATTTCCAACATAAAAAGACAGTGAAGAAAGAAAAAACAGAAGGGTTTTTATCTCGTGTGGATCATTTCAACAAGTACTTAATAAAGTAGCTTGTCATAATTATACAGAACATATCTAGCAAAAACAAGAAATAAGCAGCAACTGCATCGAAGTTATAGGTTTTATCCAGAAGTGGCATAAATGAAAATGTACATGCACAGCACAACTGACATTGTTAGGCCTAGCAATTGAGTTGAAAACAGAACTGTGAAGCTAGATTCTTGAGACCCAAATAAATCATTTTTCAACCTCTCTTCAACTCCTCTTCTCATATCTTAATATTTCCTCAGAAGATAGATCATTCGTGCATACATTAGCTTTTGCTGTTACAGCACTAACTTCTAAGGACAAATTGATCCCACTCGACAATCAGGGGCAATATTGAAGTGCAACTATTACCACCTAGAATTTTTTGCCTGTAATATGTCTCTTCTAAATTGAAGTTAAGAGTGAAAATATTTATACTTCCGCAATCTTATTTTACTATAACACCATTTCTTATGTATTCAACAAACCATAGAAGAAGAATACCTGCAAGGAGCAATGTAATACAAGCTCGTGATAGGATTGAGGGTTAAGCCTTTCTTCTGGAGTAGAACTTGGGTTAAGACCAACCTAAGAGCTTCAGCAAATATTCCCGTAACTTGATAAACTGTACCCACTATGTTAAAGTGGATTTCCCCGTATGAAGATACGACTACACCAACACTGACCAAAAGCATGTTCAAAAATAGATCACATCTTAATTTGTCAGTGCCGCAAATAACAGCCATGAGAAATGTGGCCACTGGCACTGTCAAGGGTGTAGAGAACAAATCCAATTAGCCAATTTCTTGATGTCATCAATTTAAAGCTATTAACAGAAAACATATAAGCATACTTAGGGCTTTGAGCATCTGGATGAAGGCCACAGAGATGAACAAATAAGCAGTATTGCCAAACCTGTACAAGCACACACTATGATTAGTGAACGAGAGAAAATGTGCATCATAAGAAAGTTATTTCACGATAGCCATCCTCCAAATATGCACTATATGAGTAAAGGGACTGAATGAGGCGAGACACATTCAGAATATAATTCATCTAATGATAACATAGTTATACCATAGAAATGTTCACTGATCTACCAGCTCATTTGTCTGTTCAAATAGATCACAGTAAGATACTTCGTAGTTTTATCAGACAACAGTCAATGAAAACCCACAAGAGTGATTGCTTTACAAGGCAAAGACTTGCTGAATATATGTCGGTGCGGGTTTGAGGGGTGGGCAAGAAAACGAGAGCATTTCAGTCTATACTGGAACAGGACAGCATTTTCATTCCTGGGGTCTCAAAGCATCGACTATCAGGCTAATAGTCAACACAAGAAAATCACTATTAATAATTTAAGTATCTGTTGAACAGTTTGCAATATTAAGGCATGAATGGATGCACAAGGTCATTAAGGAAAAGGTATGTGATGGTCATTTTGTGAGGGAATTTAGACAGTGCTAACAGACACACAGATAAAGAAGTATGTTGCAATAACTCAAATTTACTGATTGAAAGCCTCTCTGTCATCAAAGATTCACTATCCAGAAACAGTATGCGCCCATGATTGGTGAACAAAAGCAAGAGCAAGTTCAAGATTCTATATTTGCAAAATATTGTGCTTACCAAAGACTTGAGGCAAAGAAGGCACTGATAGGAATCACACACGTAGCATATCTGAAAATACCGTGGAACATGGTCATACAATGAAATTCTACATTAAATGGATAATAATGTGGGAATACATCTCTCACATTTCAAATGTCATTTTGACGGGTGATACAACCTGCACAATTTTAAGTCATTACTACGTCAGTGAAGGGATTATGAAATATAAATACATGGATATAAAATTAAAACATCACACAAGTGGGGAAAGGCTGACCCAGAAGTTCATGGTTAAATAGCAAAAAAGGTGCAGCACTTGTTTTTTGTTTTTCCCAAAGACAATTTCACTGGGGTAAAAGACCATGAAAACTTGCAAAGTTATTCAACTCAATTAAAGCTTCATAAATATCAAATCTACGGCATAAAAGTGACTATAGTGAAAAACTTGACGAGGAATATATAACCTTAATCTCCAAAAGGATAAAGCCTAATGATGAAATTGTAATAACTCAAGTGACACGCACCTTTTGGTACATGTTCATGTAATGTAGTCTGCACTAATAACATACACATCTATCAGGAAGAAGGGATCCAACATAAAAACCTGTTATATTAAACAGCTAAGCAACATAATGAAGTTCAAAAGATCTCACATGAATCAAAAGGAGATTCTACAATTCTATGGCCCTTAAGCAAAAAGTACTAGGACAAGCTCTCCGATAGAACTACAAGACAAGGTGGAACTCTTGTAACTGGATTCTACATATTTACTTGACCAATGCTATTCCCAACAATCAAGTTATCCATTGAGAACCATGGACAAGTCTCCAAATGTTGGAACTTTTTTTAAAACAAATATATAAACGAACAAAGCTAAGTTCGTCAAACTTTCATCCTTCATTCTGCCAAGCGCATGACAAGAAGTATCAACTTGGAAGCTATTAAAAGAAGGTGAATAAGGGTACAAAATACAAATTCTTTCATATATGTCACTGTCAGCCAATCCACAAGATTTCCGTATCTCTGCATTTTCTCTGGAATTTGTCTTGGATTACACCAACCTAGTTGATAATACAAGGTCAGTGGGGGAAAGACCAGAACCAGCTTTACAGCCTCAATAATCAACTTGTATCGTCACATTAAGAGTCAATATATACCAACAAATATCAGCAAACTAGCAAAGAAAGTGGAATGCAGCAAAAAAGTAATTTCAAAATAACCCATACCTTAAAGACGCGAACTAGAAAAAATGCCACCAAGCCGGAAAAGCCCATATGAATCATGGTAAGTGTTATTGGCAATGGGAAATTGAAATATTTTGGTGAGAGAACCCACTGTAAAAAAGCAACAAACAAAAACAAGAAACACAAGTCTGGAGATTGTTACAGTAGAGATGCACATAAAATGAATAGTATTGGAAAACTAAAATAAACATACAGCTATAGTTAAAAATTTGTGGGAATACCACTACAACTTTGTTTTTTTCCCTTTTACCTAATGACCACACCAACAATTTTGAGATATTTTAATGCTGACTATTGGCTGGCAGTGAGAACCTACCAGTTCATATTAAAGGAAGTAAATTAAACAATATGATGCAATAACCTCAATAAGAGACCAAAAAACTTTTATGAAAAAAGAACAAGTCCATTTTGCAAGGATGGAATCGTGATATAAATTTGTGGTGCTATGCTTTAGTACAGTGGTTCCCTCTAGATCATCAATATTCTCTCTTTCGAATTCATTTTAAAGCAGTAAAACTTTATTAGGGAATATAGAATTTACAATTGAAACTTGAAAGCACGTCAGATGGAGATACCTAGCTTCACGGGGTATTTCCTTTGTTACTATATTCTACGACTAGGAAGCACCGACGAGGACACCGAATGACACAAAATGGACAAGCTAATGCGCAGTTTTTCAAAAAAGTATGATACGACACGTCCTCAATGCCTTGATCAAAATAATATTTTTTTCAAATTTTATTTTAATTTTTTCTATTGAAAATTGAAGTTATTTTGTTAATCCGGCATGTCGACTATATATTGACAACAAGTCAATATAGGGACATCTGCAATGTATCTTTGGCGGTCGACGAAGTGTCCAATTGTACCAAATCAAAAAATAATATGGACACGTCACCTAGCATTTCCAACACATGTACGAAACTGGCTAGCCACTAGGACAGTGTCAATGTATCCTAGTTTTACAGTGTTCACTTCTATATAGATTTCATAAAAAATAGAAGATTCATGAAACTAGATGAGAGTCATCACCTTGTCAATTTATTGATAGATTCGTCACCATTGTTGAGGTCAAGTAAACAATCTCTTTTCTCTCTCTTTTCTTCATCTCTTTCTAATTCCTCCATCCCGTCCAAAAAAATATCCATTATTATCTTCGTGTAAGTAAAGGTTCCATGGCACTTTTGTTTGATAAGAAAATTGAGCCAATTAGGTTATCAATATTAGATAAATGTCAACAATAATGTCACTATTAAGTACTAAAAAGGAAGAAATTTTGACTTTACGTATGACCTTAATTTTCACGATTGATTTTTTTGACAGGTGTCTGAAAAAGGAATGGTTTTATCTTGGTGGATAACACTAAGATATCTCTAATTTAGTGAGTGCATAAAGATAAATGATCAGTGCATCCATATCTAATTCTAGTAGCAATTGTCTCAATGAACAATTAATAAATGGTATATAGAGACCATTCAAACAATAATAAAAAAGAAAAAATCATTTAAAAAAAGAAAAGGTAAAGAGAAAGAGAGAGAATGGCATCGGAGGATGTTCATGTGTAGAATAATACGACAATACATACCTTGTTATACAAAATAACTCCGGAGGACAATAAGATATAAACCAATAGATACAGATAGGTTAATAATAGTTGTTTGCTAATCATTGTGTAGGCTCCCTGAGAAGTCCAACTTGCAATATCCAGCTTCCTACTCTTCGTCAAAACTGAAATAATTGTATGATGAGAAGATGTTTTGATGGAAATCCTATATCTACTCAAAAATTAGTAAAGTCAAAATATCTCTTTTCTCGGAGAATCATTTTTTGAACAATGAAATGCATAACATAAAGGTGCATGAGATGAAATTTCTCATTTGAACCGTTACTATTCATACCCTTGATGAATTACAAATATCCACTTTCTTAGCAGAATCGCTGTAACTGCAACACGAATAGACATCAGTGGAACCTGGAAAAAGAATTACAGAATGAGCATGTCACACAAAAGACAATCCTCAGGTTCAACCATGGGTATCCATTTTTAGCAGAAAAAAAAAACCAATGGGTTATGTATTTTCATGATGACAGACAGTTTGCAAACAAACACGATCTCATAACAGTATTCAACAATCAATTCAGACAGCAAACAGAAAAGGGTCATGGCACATAAGGAATAAAAACTCTATATTTGTAACACTTAAAAAAAAATTACAGCTTATTTAATTGGGAAAGAAAAAGGATATAATGGGAGTACAGGATAAAATATTTGAAGGCGACATCCTAATACATGTGTTATATTCTGGAAGCATATTGAGACACATTCATATTCTTCTGTTCTTTTTTTTTTTTTTTTGCTAGAAACCCTTGGTGAGATTATCTACAAAATTCGAGGACATTTTTCCCTTCCAACCTCTCTGGCAGGTTTATTTCTCACTAAGTTATAGGGCTTTGGATGGACAACTAAAATCTTCATTGATTATTGCTCTACCTCCTATTTGCTTGTGAGTTAAATCACTATCTTCTCTCGAGAGTAATTGATTGCTTTAATGATCAAGCTCACACAAATGTGCAACACGGTTTGGATCACTTGTTAGCTCAATTATAATTTAGTGTATTTACTTCTTTAACAAAGGATCTCTACTCTAATAATAACTTTTTCTTACCATATGTTAAGAGATTCTTCATCGAAAAAGAATGTTGAGGAAGATAAAATTTCCAATAATGGCATGACAAGCATATAAGGAATAAATTCAACAAAGAGCTTTCACTACTTGTAACACCGTGAGTTCACAGAAAGAATGCGAAGTTCAGCATGGTTTAACTTTTGATATGTCTAATAAATTTTACCTTTTAGCCCAACAATAATATCACTAATAGATTTGCATATATGAGCTCGTGGTAATTACTTTCAGGTATCAAGTTAGTTAGAATGGCAGAATTAATTAAATCTCCTTCTTTGAAGGTTTCTATTACTAAGGGAACTCGTGGATTGATCTAGCTAATAACAAGAGGGGGGTTGGGGGGGTGATCCCCCACTCCCTGGGATAAAGAAATAAACAATTAAAAAAATAAAAACCTTCATGAATCTATTTTACACAAACTGTTAAGTGTTAACTTTTCTTTGCAATGCCCCAGCCAACAGGCAAAAATAAAATTGATACCTAATGTAGATCAAGTCTTTATCATCATATCAAGACCCACATAAGTTGTGATTAGTCCGTTCTTCAAGCAATTACGATCAGGCATTTTACTATCGAATTTGCGATCATAATCATTTGCACAATTTCTTACGAAATAACCTACAGGAGACAAGTATTATAAAAGTGCGGTTGGTACAACTGTTTCCTATATTTATCACATTATTAAAGTGCATAAATCGAAGTTTTTAGTGGATTTGTTTTGTACCTTTTATTTCACCCTTTTCCTTAGGCAATTACTTCCCTTGCGAGTTAAAATATCATAAACATTCAAACTAAGTCATATTTTCATTTTCCGTGTCAGTAACCAATCTTCAAGCTTCTTAAACCTCACATTTGGACTGGAACTTCAGCAGATGGTTGTTGATTACATTGTTAACAAGCATTTCACAAAGAAAAAAACAACTTATGGCCACTTTGACACATAAACGTATGCATGCACACGCTGGCACCCGCCATTTAGTGTGGGGATAGGGGAACAGATCCAAGACTGATTCCACCCAATAAAAGGCATAAAATCCAATGAATTGGACCAAACCCAAAAAGACCATGAAAATGAAAATAACACTAAAGAAGAATGAAATGTAACAAAATGTGAAGAATAAGGTAGGGTGGAACCTGAATTTCAGCAAATGGATGGGATGTAATCTCAACTGGGTCTCCTTACTAATCAACAATTGGGCGTATAAAATCCTGTCCGTCAGACCGACTCGGTAATGCAAGTGAGCATACAGTCTTGGGATGGTTATGGGAGTTAGATTGGGTAGTTTTGAAGATCTGAAGCGCATTAATGGGGAGGTTTTTAGGTAAAATTTGGTTAAACTTTTTGGAGAAGAGTGTCCAACACAGAAATTTCCTCAAAAGAAAAGTGAAGACCCGTGCGAGTAGTTGTGCAAGAAGAACCTCAGATCTCAACAATTTTTGGCAATCAATTTTCCTTTACAGGCTTTTTTTTGGATTTTTTTTTCTTTCTCAAATTCATTTTTAAGTTGAACCATGCTGCATGTACAAAAGTTCTGCTACAGACAATACACAACGGGATGACAAGAAAATTTGAACCATTTTTTAATCAGGTCGATCCTACGTGGGACCCACCTCATGAAAGAGGTCGGTAAGATCTCTATGAACGCCATTTCTGTACACTTGAATTAATTCTTTCAAGTTTTAAACCATGAATGTCAAACAACGCTAAAATAAAAGTGAATATGTTAGAAATAACCGTTACTATAGTCGAAAGTGTCTAGACGTAATTTTAAAAAAAAACATAATAATTTCTTAACGATATTGGTAATTTGTAGAAAAAAGTAGTCATTTTAAGGCTTTTTAAAATGGACATGCTTTTTTTATTCCGAGACAATAGTACGAGACAGCTCGGTATGATTTGGGAGCCAAGCCGCAACCCAGACTTAGGTCAACACTTGTATAATAGCCAATTGGAAGCAGATCAAATCGTGTAGACATTTTATTATCTAAAACTTTCACACGATAGATTGTCCTAAAGATTTATGCAAATCGACTCATTAGACGACCAAGGTACAAGACTTGCACTGAGCCCCAACTCTTGAACTTGTATTTGCAAAAAAATGGCCATATCACAACTAACAAGACTTTATATGAATTCAATAAAGATAACTTCAATCAACAAGATAAGGAAACAGATACCATCTCCACGAGAAGCTTATCACTACACTACAAGGATACAACTAAAATAGACCAGGCATAGTTCAATCACAAAGAAGCACAAGCATGCTCATATAGTGTCACATTAACATCGTATAGATGAAGCTTCAATAATCACATGAATGCGAATTTACTTTTCTTCCTTTATATGACTGGATGAGGATCGGGAACGCTGCATCGAAAATTTCTACATATGTATGGGCATCACTTTGCAACGAAAAGTGAATAAGCTTTAAACCGCAGAAAGAAGACGTTACATAGATCCCACAGAAGAACTACAGGTCTGCACTAATACATGCTAAGTTTAATATTAAACATAAAACTATTCCATCAAACAAACTCATGATGGAATAATAATTAGCTTCTACGTGGAAGTGCAATAGGCCTGGTCAAGTTTTGCAGAAGACACTACAGAAATCAGATCAAAATAACAAACCACATACGGTTAGGCAAATTTTTGGTCTCAGACGGCAACTCTGCATAAAAAGCCTGAGAAGCCTCTATTCCTCTTGATTGACATCAAGATTTTTGAGTTTGGATTCCAATTCATCTTCACTGCCTTCACCATCATCCCCAGAATCTCTGTTGTTGTCATCATCTCCTCCTTCAGGGTCATTCTTCTTCACCATCATCCCCAGACTCTCTGTCGTCATCATCTCCTCCTTCAGGATCATTCTCATCCAAGGGTCCAAGCTTTTCCGGAGATTCTTTGAAGATATCCCTCAACTCATCAATACCTTCATCAGAAATGAAGTTCCCATTAACATTAAGCAACTTGAAGTCGGGCTTATGCACCAAAGCCTGAGCTAAAGATCTGGCCCCGACCCTTCTTAATGAATTCACGCTCATATCAATTTCCTTCACTTGATCATGACCTTCAAGAGCCTTGCTGATCTGAATGGCACCCTCGTCCTTAAGTTCATTCTCAGACAGGTTCAACTTTGTGAGAGCCTTTTTTGCAGCAATGCAAGCAGCTAAACTGGAAGCAGCTTCAGCTGTAATATCATTTCCAGCCATCTCCAATACTCCAAGCAAAGGGGCTGCCTCCTTGATAGAATTGGCTATTGTAATTGCTCCTTCATCTTCCAGATTAAGGTAGCTCAAATAAACCTCGGTAAGATATTCATGTTTGGAAAGAGCCTCGCTCAACTTGATGCCAACCTCTACGCTAAACATGTTGTCCCGTAGATCAAGTTTCTTCAGATTCTTACACCCCCCAAGTGCTTCAGACAGAGCAACTCCTCCTTCAGAGCCTACTCGTGTAGATGAGCACCGAAAATCCTCCAACAAGGGACAACGCCTCAGAATCTCAGAAATAGCAACAGCCCCTTCATCTCCAGTCATATTATTATGAAATTGAAGAACCCTAAGCTTCTCTGTGGAAGGAACCAACTCACAGACAGCTCTAGCAGCTTCCTCTGAAATCCCATCGTTCATTAGATAAAGTTCCTCCAAGATAGTTTGAGACTGCAAGAGCTTCTCAAATGCCCTAACTCCCTTCTCACCCAAGGCATTGTCCGACAGGTTCAGACACGTCAAATGAGAGCCTTCCAGAGCTACAGAGAATATATTCATAACATCAAGAGCTTCAGCCTCCGGTCTTCCTGCAACAAAATCTGACAGATCAACTTTCTTCAACTGGTTCTTTATGGATGCCAAGATAGGCCCAGCAACATGAGCAGCACCTAGACCGAAGCTTCTATTGCTAAAACAAAGTTCAGTATAGGCATTTCCAGGTTCTTTTAATGGCATCAGAAGTGCTTTTGCCTCGTCAGCTTCTATAAATGCACGTTGACCTTTGGAAATATCAAAAAAGGTTTCACTGACAGCAGAAACAACCTGAGATTTTGCAATCCCTTTCTCCTGCACACTGTGACCTTTTTTAAGAACTTCTAAAATGAGCTTACTGCACTCCCTAGCATACAACTGCACGGCAGAACTGCCATCTCCATCAGGTTCTAGCTCATAGTGTTGATTTGCATCAGCAAAAGCTGACTCTTCAACTTGTTTGGCATATTCTGAAGCTTCATTCTCACCTAGACTTCCATACTTTTGGGTGAAAATAGTTGGAGTATAAAGATTTTTAGTCATCCGCTCCACTAGAATCTGTCGCGTGTTTTGGCTAGGGGGCCATAGTTTAATGGTAACATGCCGGCGTTGTGAATTTGGAGTTTCTGCATCCATTGTAATCAAAGCTGAAATCAAGGAATGACAAATACTGTTAGTCAATATGGACAAATAGTTGCAAAGGTCATGCCGTTATAAAGCAAAAAGGATCCAACTACTTCCTTGAAGGAATTTTTCTTAGTCGATAAGTCAACAAAAATGATAATCACAAATCTTAATATTGATCATACAACACAAAATTCTCAAATAACAACAATGGCAGCAACAACAATAATAACAATATTAATTTCAGTCAAACAAGCCACCCACTTCAACATTTTTCTCTATCCAGCTTATTGAATATTCTTGTGAATCATGTCAATCCCAATCCCAGACCAGAACTCATGTCCAAACTGCATTACACTTGATTAATTATCAATAATGAACTAAGCAACTCAATGAAAATACAATTAAAAAAACCATCAAGCACATAAGCTGGCCAACATGAAGGAGCTGTAGTATAGATCAAGGCAAAATACAGAAAAGTTGTTATATTTATTTGAGATAGCTTTCTTCTGCTTAGCCAATCATAGCTACACATACAGGCGTCAAAAGGGTGTGCCAGATAGCTCTGGCATAGGCCTTTTCAATGCTTTAGTCAGGGAAGGAGAGAATATATTACATAATAAGACTTCAGCATGGATTTGATTCCCTCCCTCTTTTAGAGAGGTTGTTCGCTCTATATATAGGCAACTTGGTAGTAAATTAGCTTCTCCCACTTCCAACATGTTAAGGTAGTGGGTTCATGATATAGAAAATGGTCCCTAGAACTAGAAGTGGGTTATTTTAGAGAAGAATGGGGGTGGTTAACCCTCAATACCAAAAATAGAAGAAAAATAACTATAGCACAAAGAAGTTTCCATCAGTAAAATGAAAAGGAATACAAAAATGGATAAATCCCAGTTGTGAAAACATGGTTCTCTAATGAGATGTAAAATTTAAAGGTTATGCAATTAATCTGAGATAGAAAGATGAAAACACTGAAAAAATAAAAAATTTAGACTCGGAGGAATAAAAAAAGTATTGTATGTCTCCCAGTATAAAAGAAATTGTTTCAATTTTATCAATCCAAAATTATCCCAACATGAAAATAATAGAAGTTGATTATAATTTCAAAAAGAAATATAAAACAAAGAAAAAATATTGTTTTTAAGTTGATCCATTTCTTTAATTCTATTGTCACCCTCTCCCAAAATCCATTTATAATGAAATGTATACCCAACCATCAGGAATAACGTCTAAAGTTATCAATAAGTAGCCAACCTTAAACTTGAAATTTGTAGCGTCACCTTCATTATGTTGTATCACAAGGATAAAACACAACAAAAGAGCATCAAACCTGAGATTGTAAATATGAAAATATGCAATTCCTAAATTAGCNTGAGATTGTAAATATGAAAATATGCAATTCCTAAATTAGCCCCTGTTTGACACACATTCTTTAAAAATACATTCTTTCAAAACTCATTTTCAACCACACATTTTTCAACAAAATAATATTTTCATTACATCAATAATTTTTCCTTACTTTTTAACCACATATTTCCCCATCATATCACTATTTAAAATACATTCTTTCTTCAATAATATCCATCAAAGACATCCTTATTGTTTTCATTTTACTAAATATCACTAAGGAATTTTAAAGTCCCTTGTGTATAAATGTGTTAGCTTCTCTAGAAAATATTCTTTCATCGCTTTGAACTCATCAAGTACTACTGGCCTAGTCTTCCAAATAGACATGTCTGAACCAATATTCAAGGCAAAGTAAAGGCTACAGTTTGGCTCCCAAAAATATTCCCACAATACCCCAAGCCTATTTAAAGGCTAAATTCCATGAGGCTTCTACCCTAGAGAGGGAGAAAAAGCTCAAGACATGGAAGGGTATAATGCATATATTTTATAGTGGATTGGATAGATGGATAAATGCAGTTATGTCATTTTATTTTAGGAGAAGTTAATATTTTAATATAAGACTCAAATTGAAACTTGGACATCAAAACTCAAATCAAGGGAATAAAAAATAATTACCCAATCTACCCTCCATATCTAAGGTATTGGCTTACTCTTTGAATGGCTCAAATGTTCTTGGGATACTTTCCTGCACAGGGGTAGTTGTAGGCTTTGAACTTACCATTTGGAACATAGGTGCGTCTCACAACACGTACAAAGCCATGCCCACTTATATATTTTACATGGAATAAAGCATATATGTCTATTTATTGTCATGCTTGTCCTTGAATTCTACTTTTTAAAGTCAAACATTAATTTTAACCCACTTATTGAATTAACCACTCATTAACTGAAAAGTAGAATTTTAGCAACAAAAAATGCAACCCAAACAGAGGTCATGCATGTATCATTTAGACTTTTACAGTCTAGACAAATTGACAGAGTTTCTAGTCATATCTAGGAAATGAAATATTAGTTGAAGAATTATAGACATCATAACACTAACTGTACTCTATTTAATTCTTTTCAGACTCTTATAATCATACTCTATTTAATTCTCATCTGAATCTTATCATAAATTAATGTGTGTCTTTTAAATCTAGATAAATTGATACTGTTTCTTGTCATATCTAGGAAATGAAATATTAGTTCAAAAATTATAGACATCATAACACCATTTAACTCTATTTAATTCTCTTCTAAATCATATCATTATACTTCCATTGTTTCATACTGAATGCAATTCACTACTTATTAGGATATTTATTAGGATATCAGAAAGTGAGTTGTTGCCTATTGCCCAATACAGGAACTTTTAAGCATGTGTTGGTTAAGATGCTCTAAATCAAACAAGCGGTTATAAAAGTTAAGAAAGATCTACAAATCTATAAAGCTTCACCAAACTTCATCATTCTCATGTAGCCCCTAATCCCCTACCTGCATCTCCTGCACCATTAACACAAAACCCCCACGCCCTCCCAGTTCACAACATGGAGAGTACCACAACCCAAAACGGCACAACCTTTTTTCCCAAACTAATCTTGCAACGGTTGGAAATTACCAGATACCAACCCTTCATAGCTGAAGCCAGAAATTACTGAAAACTAAGCTAACCCCACCACTTAATAATCACTGCAAATGCGCAGGGAAATGGATGATAGCGCAATTGATAACTAGCTAACCATAATGTGGCTCGAGCATGTTATGTGGTTTGATATTGTACTGACTATAGGAAAATGCTGTTGATTGGACACTCATAGCCTGCTTGACTAAAATTTTTTACCTATATAATACCCAGGCTTTATCGACGTTCAAAAAAATCAAAGAAAAAGAAGGAATCACGCTTCGATCCAAATCTTTCTTTATCCTTGTTCTACAAACAAAAATCCAAGTTCAATCCAATCAAAACTCAGTCCAGATAGAAAAGAAGGGAATGTTGTATAACAATAAGCGAAGAGATCAATAGGGGTGAACTGCATACCTTGAATTGAAGAAGCGAAATGGGAAATGGAATACGATTAATTTGCCCTAATTTGTCACTGTACTTTCCCCTAATTCGGATACTTTTATCCGAGTCTCGGTCTCTAGTAGCCGCAATCAAATAATTTTGAAAGTGGGAGCGGGAGAAGGACTGGACTATTTGCCCCTAGGGCTGGTGGGCTTCAAAACGTCTCAATTTATATCATTGGTCACATATTAAATAAACTTATGGGTCCCAGAACAAATTTATTAATCACAATCTTGGGCTGGTGGGCTTCAATACGTGACAATTTATTTCATTGGTCACATATTAAATAAAATTATAGGTCACAGATCAAATTTATTGATCACAAATTATTTTTTAGTCGCAAATTATCGAAATTTAAGGTCATATTTTAATAGCTAGTCACAGTAAACCAAATAGTTGATCACATGCACTAAGCATGCCACCCTTGATCTCGGTCTACCACGAATACTTGGTCACTGATCCGCCAAACCCCCCACAATAACACCACTCTCAACAAAAATATCACCACCATTTTTGCAACACCACCATCACCACCATTTTTGCAACACCACCATCACCACACCGCATCGCATCAGCAACACAATCACACGTACCACCAGTCACCACTGCCACCATTGCCAAAACGACACCACATACCACCCACTAAACATCACCATAGCCACCACAACAAAACTGCAACCACACAAAATACAACCACCACACAAAAACACCACCCAAATCTCTAGTGCACTGTCAGCGTAGCCCAAACCACCACCATTGCGCCAACACTAACACCAACATCGACAGAAACCCCACAACCTCACGACAACTAGTGACTAGAATTTCCATCTCAAACAAATCGCCACTGATTCACCACCACCAACAAACCACCATTTTCAACCACTTCCACCACCAAAATTCAATAAACCCACCACAACCGCCGATCCACCACCACACAAAACACTGTCCTAACCTCACTACAACCACCGTCGGCGAAGGAAGAAATACAACACTACTTCTGCTTCGCGCACCATGATGAATAGCCTGTGAAGAGTCGTCGCCTCTGCTCCGTGATGAATAGCCAGAGCAATTGCTGTGAAGAGTCACCAATATTAGTCGGTGCTGACTGCAACGTCGCGACGCTGTCGTTAACAACAACAGCCTTTGATGCCGCAACGTAGCCGACCGACGCAACTCCTTCGTCGATCGTCAACGTTAGAAGAGAGATAAAAGAAGAGAGAGATGTAGAGAGAAGAAGATGTGAAAACCGAGTAAAGAAGAAAGAGAAGGGATAGAAAAGAATAGTGAAAGAAGGAAGAGTAAAAAATAATTAGGGTTTGGGTGGATAAAATTAATTTAATTTTAAGATATTAAAAAGTTTAAATTGATACCTGATTTTTCAAAAAAAATTATCAAGTCTGATTTTTGAAATGTGATCTTGAAATACTTGGATTTGTGTAATTTCCTCTTTTAATAAATAGATACT